GGGGGATTATCCCTCTTTATCCTGCCTCATCTCGTGTAGGCCTGGACAGCCTTCGTAGGTGGGCCCCATCCGTCGTCTACCCCGACCGCAAATGCGGCCGGTGTAGGCGCTTTGTGGGACCTCCTTTTGTCCTGGCTGGGCCCCGCCGGCTAGGGCCCTTTCTTCTGGCGCTCTTCTTGCTTCGCCGGCTCGTCTGTGTAAACCCCGGGGGTAGTGTCATGTTTATGTGTGGTATGGTTGGGTAGGGTAGTGCGGCTATGCAGCCTGGGATGCGCTTTGCTAAGGTGGCCCTTAGGCTAGCGCGGGAGGGGAGGGGTAAGGAGGGTATGGGGGGTGTGTATGTGTGTGTGTGTGTGTCGTTGTCTTCGTTTCTTGATCCTGGTGGTCTCTGAAACAGAAAAGGTTAGCGGGCAGGGGGCCCTAGCGACCGAGGCGTTACTGGTGGCCCACCCTGTACATATATCCTAAATCCAATTCAGACAGCTTTACGTAAGTAATTGAGCTTGTATCTTTATTATATTTTTTTTTGCTTTAGATTGTTCTAGTTATGATCGGTATTTTGATCAATGTTGGTATCTCTAACCAATACATGATTATAGCTATGGTTGTACTGGGTGCAGTATTTTTAAAAATAAGGTCTTGGTACATAGCAACTGCCAGAGATGTTAAACATTTGGAAGGCATAAGTGAGTATAATATACACTAGACACAAAAATTAAGGGATATTTAAAAAATCCCTAATTTTTGGTGATTTTCAGAGCTGTAACTTAGAGGGAAATCGTCGTAGAGAGAATCAAGAAAAAGAAAATTGAAGATTCAAATTTCTAGTTTTCGGACCTGGAGTTTAAAATTTTTTAGCATCAGCAGCTTTTGAGTAATCATAATATAACGAAAATTTTCTTTTTTTATTTTTGGTTGTATTTAAAAAGGTCCATGAACATCAATAATTTTTTTTTTGGTAATTTTACCTTGATGGTTATTTTTAGATAATTTAATTCCCTTCAATTTGATTTGCTCCGGAGCCTAGTACGATGATCTGTCGGTGAATTATTGTCGATCAAAGCAAATAAAGTCATTTTTGACTTTGGCAATCAATTACTCGTACAAAAAATCCAATAATAATAAAATATATTTATTTCATAAGACTTAGTTCATACAAAGTATCGAAAATTGTCGAAAGTATATAACACAAATAAAAAACAGATAATAATTGTATAAGGACAAACTACAAAATATAGATCAATGAGAAGATACAAAACATAATTACAAAATATAGAACAAAAATTACAATAAAAAATTTAAAATTACTGTAAAAAAATTAAAAACCAGACTCATTAAAGACACAACACATGTACTCATCGATGCTATAGAATGGATTCTGCAAGAGAATTCGCTTTACTTTGTTACGAAAGAGAACACAAGAATTATCTATTTAATATGCAATGGCAACTTATTATATAATTTAATGGACATAATAAAAGGGCCATTAGCCATTAACGTTAGGCGATGCAGAGGTATATTTAAATTAAGAGCTAAGATTGTAACCAGAAGACTAACTTGTATCAGCACGAGTAACAAAATATGTTAAATGGTTTTTCACATATGTAACACAGCTGAATATATGTATATAGTGAATAAACTGTAAGAATACCTAATCTTTTAAATAATTCTCTGCAAGAATCTCGTGTTTTTGAATTAGTCATTGTACGTATAATATTTTTTTGGAGAATAAATAAATCTTTAATATGTGAAGAGTTACCCCAACAAATAGTTCAGTAGCTTAAATTAGACTGAACAAAACCAAACTAATACATTTTTAAAATATGCAAACCTACAAATTTGCCTAAACGCCAAAGAACAAAACAATGTTTTGCCAATTTATTCAATAACTTGTTAATATGTTTAACCAAGATAACTTTAAATCCAAAAATTTTACTGTAGTATTTTGTTGAATAGTTTTGTTGTTAAATTTAACTAATATACTACAATCTATTTCTTTAGTATTGAACACGATCAGATCAGTTTTTGTGCCATTTAAAGCCAAATTATTACTATTACAATAATTTTGCATACTAATCACAACATTTGATGCAAGGCCACTAAGTGCAGCAACAGATTCCGATTTGACCGCTACAGAAGTGTCATTTGCGAACAATGTTACAAATCTTTTTGTATTAGCAATCATTTCAATGTTATTAATAAAATGTTAGAACAAAAGTGGTCCTAAAATGCTTCCTTGAGGGACACCTAATTGGTTATGCCTCGGTTGTGAAAAATATTGTAAACCATTGGCATTTAAAAGAACTTCTTGAGTTCTTCCTTGTATATAACTATTAAGCCAGTTTAGCGCAGGACCTCTTATGCCATACCTTTCCAACTTGCTTAACAAAAGTGTATGATCATATTACATATGCACATGCACATTTGTATTTATTTTCTAATGCATTTAATATAAAGCTATATAAAGATAAAACTGCATCTTGTGTCGCCAAACTTTTTCTAAATCCGAACTGATTTTTATTAATTATGTTATTATTTTCTGCGAAACTTAATATTCTTAAATAAAATTCTCTTTCAAATATTTTCTAAAATACAGAAAGGAGTGCTATTCCTCTGTAATTAGATATTAAATACTTATCATTCTTTTTATGGATAGGAATAATTACAGCTTTTTTTAATATAGAAGGCATATGTCCTTGTGTAAAAGATAGATTGATAAAACTGCTATCAAAACCCGCTGAATTTTTCCTGCAAACTTTCCTAATTATATCCATTACTTTTATTTCTGTAAAAGGGAACAAGAACTCAAAAGGGATACCTAAAGACACATCCCTGAGAAACTTTTTATCATTTAAGCACATGGCCGAATCGATAAAGAAATTATTAATTCATCTGCGGTCTTATGTAAGTTTGAAATATTGTTCCCATATCATCATGATAGCTTTGACAAATGTTACCATTTAAAGTATTACAATTATTTTTAATAATGTTCCAAGCTGCTTGAGATTTGTTAGAAGAATTCAATATCTTATTACCAAAATATACCCTCATTAATGATTTCCAGTGTCACCCATGGGTTTGTCTTCATATGAGATTTATTCTTATTTTTACACAGTTCCACAGGAAAGGCTTTATCAAATGCATTAAAAAAACCTCATGAAAAAATGAAAATTTTTCATCAAACGAGGTATTTAAATAAATAAATTCCATCTGACTTTTGCTGTCAAGTGCTGGAAGTATGCTATATTTATTGGATTGTTACTAAGTCGCTTAAAATAGTAACAATCTGGCTTTTTGACAACACTAGATTCAAAAATGGAAAAAGAAACCTGTTTTAAATGATGCTCTGAAATATCACATTTTATATTTTGCGGGTTCAATATTATAATATCCATACTCGAAAAGATAGTGTCAATTATTGCCTTCGCTTCACCTACTTCCCTGGTATAGGACCATATTGTTTGTTTCAAATTATAGGCTGCAAAGATATTGCATAACTTTTTAGGATTTAATTTACAAGGATCAAAATTAAAATTAAAATCTCCACATAAGAAGACCAAGTCAGTTTTTATAGTTTGGTTTAGCAAATCTTCAATATATAATAAAAATTCACTTGAATTATCTGGAGCAGGGGAGGCAAGTGGAGTTCTGTAGAAACATCCTACTAAAATTGTTTGCTTGTTTTTTAACAAAACTTCAATCAAAGTATATTCAAATGTGAATTGTAACCTTGGTACTCTACAAGAAACTTTTCTAAAATCTAAAGTGCTCCCCCTTGCTGATGACCAGATCTATAAAAAAAGTCACAAAGAACATAGTTGTCAATTTTATCATACACAGTTTCAAAATCACGAAATCCAGTTTCAGAAACACAGTACCTCCGGATAGTCAATATATGTTGAAGTAGGGGATCTTGGCATAACTTTGCAAATAATAGATAAACTAAGGATATTTACTGTAACTTTTCAACCTCAAAGTGTCCTAGAGAAATCGTAATAGTTTCAAACCGCTACGACATTTTTTCCTAGTGTCCGGAATGTTTAAATTTATCGTTTTTGCTGAAAATTAATGTAACAAGTAATTTTTTACTTTTTATTCATATTTTTAGTTGAAAAAGGGCAATAATCCATATTTTCTTCAATAAAAGAATGTTAATTATTGTAAAAAAAAATTATTTTTTGATTTGATCGACGAAAACGCAGCGACAAATCATCGTTCAGGACTCCGGAACCGCTCATATTGTAGGAAATTAAATTATCTAAAAGAATTTTATGATAAAGTTACCAAAAAAAATATATTGAAGTCCATTAACCTTGTTAAAGACAGGCAGCAAAATTTTGGAAAAATTTTTTTATTGAATTTCTTCAAAACTCAAAAACCGCTGACGTTAAAAAAATTTAAATACCAGATCCGAAAACTAGTAACATGAAGCTTCAATTCCCTTTTCTTATTATCTCTACAATTATTTCACTCGAAGTTACAGCTCTTTGAAAATCTTCCAAAAATTTGAGATTTTTTTAATATTCCTTAATTTTTGTGACTAGAGTATTACTTTTAATTAAAATATTATGATCATACTGCCTTTCTACCTGAACACAAAAATGAAATATTTTTTTTATAAAATGTATTTAATTTTAGCAAAATCCCCCGTATTTTCTCACATCAGCTCAACTCTGAATGGAATAATAACTATCAGAGCATCGAAAGCAGAAGAAGTTTTAATAAACGAGTTTGACTATCATCAAGTACGTGTCGCCCATTTACTAAATTAAACTTATCTACTTTTTTTACTTATCTAACTTATTTTACAGGATATTCACACCTCAGCTTGGTATTTAACAATCACATGTGTCGTTTCCTTCGGACTTTGGTTGGACATTATCTGTGTAATATTCGTAGCATGTGTTGTATTCAGCTTCGCCATTATGCAAACTCGTAAGTCTATACATCATTTTTATAAATCTGTAATTTTAATATTACACATGGTGATACATGTTTAATCGGAAAATTTTACCAGGTGATAGGAAAAATAATTTTAAGCAGAGACTAGATGTTGAAATTAGAAAAATTATATTCTCCTGTATCTCTGAGGATGTTTGACGTAGACTGATAAAACTTAAATTTATCTAATTAGAGGTACAAATTCGCTGAGGTGATTTACAAATATTAGTTCAGTGGTGAAGATCAAAAACGTCACTAAGAACATCAGAATTTCAACACCTCTGATTGTTTTGGTAATTCGTCCAGTGTTTCAAATTTCCATTAATATTTCTAAGAAAGGAGAGTTTATTCGAGAAAGAAGCTGTTTTAAAGTTATGATATCATCATCTTCATCATCGTCATCGTCACCGTCTCCGTCACCGTCACCGTCATCGTCATCATCATCACCATCATTATCATCATCATCACCATCACCATCATCACCACCATCACCACCATCACCACCATCACCACCATCACCATCCTCATCATCATTACCATCATCATCATTACCAACATCATCATCATTATCATCATCATAATCAAGGACATAACTTTATTACTGGTTAAAGTATTGATAAGCCAACTTATTATTATAATTTCAATACTTAATACGTAACTCTAAAACGAAGCATTTCACTGCAAATATTTAAAATATAGGCCACATGAATTGTTTTTATCACTTGACATCATAAAAATCAATTCAAAGTTCCTTTATACGTATTATTAGTATTAAACTTTGGAAATAGAAATTTATTTATATAAACAAAAATTAATATACACCTTTTTTAAGTTTCCATAGTCAGTGGAAGTTTAGTAGGATTAGCCGTATCACAATCGTTGGTCTTAACTGGCATGCTCCAACATGGCATGAGGCAAACTGCAGAAGTAATAAATCAATTAACAAGCGTTGAGAGAGTGTTGCAGTATACTACGATAGACACTGAAGGGCCATTCGAAACTCCACCAGGTAAATACATAATACACGTAAAATTTCTCCGACCTGAAAGTTTGACCTATTGATTTTTTTCTCTATTAATTTCAAACATAATACTTTCAAAAAGATGTATTTTTTCTTTCTCAACAGTTCTGGAAATTAAATGATCCACCACTATTTTACATTAATATCCTTACGATTGGAATAACCTACATTTTAACAAAAAAAAACATTCATTAATCTGAACTACGTAAATTTCAAACATGTATATAGATCATACGAAATGATTTAATTGGCTCGTTAGTTAAGAATATTTTTACTATAGCAATATCCGTTTCAGGTAAAATGCCGGCGCTGCCGTGGCCCAATCAAGGATTGATTGAATTTATCAATCTCTCCTTGAAGTATATTGCGGACGATCCTCCAGTTTTGAAGAACTTAAACTTCACTATCTATCCAGGAGAGAAGGTATATAATGAATTTACTAAATTTGAATGAAATATTAACCTACATTCAACAACTTTCAGATTGGAATAGTCGGACGAACTGGAGCTGGAAAATCATCGCTTATAGCGGCCCTTTTCCGGCTGGCGCCATTAGAAGGAACTATATTGATAGATGGAGTAGACACACAACAGCTTGGTTTAAATGATTTGAGGAAGAGAATATCCATTATACCCCAGGAACCAGTACTATTCTCAGCAACCCTCAGATATAATTTGGATCCGTTTAAGGAATTCCAAGATACTGAACTCTGGAATGCACTTGATGAAGTAAGAATGAAGTATTGTATAAGTTCATAATATTTACGGGGGAAAGCAAATATTTTAATTTTTATCAATGCACCTAATATTTTACAGGTTGAGCTTAAAGAAGCTGTTAGCTCCTTAGACTTTTTGATAGCTGAAGGTGGAAGTAACTTCAGCCTGGGGCAAAGGCAACTCATATGTTTGGCAAGAGCTATTTTAAGAAATAGCAAGGTGTTGGTGTTAGATGAAGCTACTGCGAATGTCGACCCAAGGTATGATCATGATTTAAAAATATTCGAAAAACTTAATTATATTTACCACTAATATGTTTCTTCATGTACCTATCTACTCTGCTGTTTTCATTGTCAGTTATTTATTTCATATGTTGCTCAATCCTGATTTTCTATTATTTTAGTCTGCCCTACATATTTCTTTCATTAATTCACTAATTATTTTTACCGTGTACTAATTGCTTTGTGCTCATTTTCTAAGAAACCACATTTTAACCTCGTTTCGATAAATTAAACATATTGTAATGGCATAGCGATTCTATTAAAAGTCAATGGACTCTTTCACTTTCCAAAATTCGAAAATTCCAAGACCGTATTTGTCCTTTCAAAAGAATTCATCCTGAAATTTTATGTTTTTCAGTTTAGCAAAGAATACAATAATTGATGCCAATACTTTAATTTCCTAGTTCATTATTCTAGTTTTACAGATGGTAACTGTTTTATTCACTTCCAACATCAGAAAGGTTTCTTCCTAATTTCCTCTCTAATTGGACAGAACTTAAAATGTATTATTTCTACATCAATATGTGATACATAAGGTACTTATAGTAAGAAAACCTTGCACTCATTCTCTTCACCTAGTCTGCAAGCTATACCTATGCTTCTTCTAACAATTAATTACATCACCAATATCTAGTAAACAGCTAAGGTCATTCACCAGCAGTAACGATGACATTTAAAATGTGGCGTCTGCTTTATAAGTTATATATAATTCATATATAGTACAAAAATATACTGGGGGAATTTCCATGTGACATCCAGATAACAATAGTCCAGGAAAATTAGACGAAAATAGGGCCGAACCTCGGAATTGCATAAAGGTTCGATTTTCGAATCGCCACGGTAGCGCAGTCGGTCGAGAGTGCGGTGGCAAGCATTTCTCGGCTAGGCTTCCTACTCTGATCCGGGTTCGATCCCCGGTGTCGGCACTGGCAATGTCGATGGATAATGGGTGTTTGTCCGCGTTTTTTCAAGTGTAGCCCCCTTCCGCACAAGCCTTTGGCTTTTGGATTTGGGGGTTGTCTCATTTCTGTGGTGTGTTTTATGTTTTATGTTTTATTTTGATGAGACAAAGTGCGTTCTCTTCGTAATTACATGTACATCAAAGTCTACAATGTCTCATGCGGCGCTAATTTGTTTATTTATAAATAATCAATTATTATTAACAAATAATCGTATTTCGGATATTACGTGGGGTGGAAACGGCCAATCTTGATGCAGTAAAGCTCTTTCTTCTTCTTATTAGTAGTACTTTAACTGTAAAGTATCCCCACAGACCTTCATTTGTTTATCGGTTTTTATTTGATTGTTATAAACAAATTAGACGTGATATCTGCGGTCGGGAGTAGGACTAGCCGATTTGGACGGGATTAACGTGGTTTTATATAAAAAGTTCAAGACCCTAATGCAGGAAGTGAATTCTCAAAAAGCTGAAGACCATATAGAACATGAATCATTATAAATAAATGTTATCCACTTCTCTTTGATTAAAAATTATCCATTCTAAGTCTTAGTTACAGGTTGCACGTGTAACTTAATTTTTTTTATAATGATTAATTAGTAAAAAGAAACAAATGAAGATCATTCGAACCTTAACGGTTTTGGAATATCCCGGATGATGATCAAAGTGACTTATTCCATAAAAATCAGACTTTTCTCGTCCAGCTCACAGATAACAGCCCGATTTTGTATATACTAATTCATTAAAGATCAATGAACAAATGAAAATCAGTCTGCCCTTAGTGGCCCTTAGTGGTTCTGGATCACCTTGTAATCCAAGTACGAGAAGAGCGTCGATTACCGCGTGAAAATCCCCCTCTCCCAGTCCGATTGCCTAATTTGCTCTTAATGATCGAATAAAAATCAATAAACAAATGAAGATCGGTGGGAGTCTCCCAAAGTTAAGGTACAACTAATCAGAAGAAGAATGGGCTCTACCGCATCAAAATTGGCCTTTTCCAACCCACGTAATATCCGAAATACGCTAATTTGTTAATAATAATTGATTATTAATAAATAAACAAATTAGCGCCGCATGAGACGTTGTAGACTTTGACCTACATGCAATTACGAAGAGAACGCACTTTGTCTCATCAAAATCGAACCTTCTTTATCCAATTCCGAGGTGAAATGCTAATTTTCCTGGACTACAATGTTTCCATTGCAATTCGTATCATTCAATTCTGTAAAATTACCAAATTAACATTGGTACATAGGTTTTCAATATGATATATGAAAGCATAGAAAATATACTGAGTGTCCGCTAATTAATGATGCACAGCAAAACCACAAATTCTTCATGTCGATGTATCAAATCCAATCTAAAGTTGACAATAACCAAGATACATGGTGTCAAAGTTTTGTTTATTTCTTCTATTGTTTTCGATAATGTCTAAATAAATCGAGATAAGTGCACAAAATTACGGATTCAGATTTTTTGATGGCACAAATTCAAATTTGTTTATAGTTTTGATGTCAAGGTGCCAACTGTAGCACGTCACGCAATATTTAAATGATATCGTTTTTGCGACTTCACAAATTTTGACGCAATGTTTTTATAGTGGTCATTTCATACTCGGTAGGTTACCTTACTCTGCCAATACAGTATCCACGAACAGTTTATCATGAAACACCCTGTATAAATGTCTTTGCTACTATTATTTTTTTGCAATCATCTGTAATCAACTTGAATTTAACTAAGTTTTCGATCATTAAAGTTATATTCCAAAGAACTGAACTGAAATGACATCTTTTCACAAAACTTTATAACTTCTAATTCAAAAAATACTTACCTAAAATTAAAACAAATTTTTGCAGAACCGATTCCTTCATTCAAGCCACTATTCGTCGAAAGTTCAAACACTGCACCGTTTTGACGATAGCTCACAGACTAAATACTATAATGGATTCGGATAAAGTGATGGTTATGGCGGGCGGATCGATGTTAGAATTTGATCACCCGCACAGTTTATTGCAAACACCCGAGGGACCCTTCCACAAAATGGTTTTGGAGACTGGACCAACAATGTCAATACAATTGAAAGATATTGCACAGGAAGCCTACAAACAAAAAAAGAACTTGTAATATCTGAAGTCATTGCAGTTGCTTGGGAGTGACAATGTCACATTAAGTGCTGTTTTATCTGAATTTTGTATATATTATATTATAGTTTTACTTGCATTTTGTACATATTTACCATCGAATATCATTAGAAATAATTGTACACATAATTTGTCATTTCCTCAAATAAATATTTCAAGTGTAAACACCATTTACTAATAACTGTTTATTATTAATATATTCTATAAATTCCCAAAAAGTATCCCAATTCAAGAGTAAGCTACGTCTATAAAAGATATGCTCAACTGAGAAGTACCTCCCTTTTTAACACATTGTATTCAATAGTGATTCACTCGAAGGATGATATCAGCCATAATAATAATAATAACCTTTATTAATCCTTTAGACATATACATGTATAGGACAAGTCAGTATTAACACAAATGTTACAAACATAATACAATCCACTACATAAATGTGTCAACAAAATACTCGTTTATAGTGTAATAGGCTTTCTTGAGCAGTAAATTTTTTACATTAGTTTTAAAAACTATTTCTGTCATTAATTTATAGTGTGGTGCTAGATGATTGTAAAGCTTTATTCCCATGTACAATGGAGATTTCTCAAATTTGGTAGTTTTATGCCCTGGAATGCAAAACAGGTCTCCATGCCTAGTCATATCGCTCATTTGCAAGAAGACAGGCACAATGCAAAAAATTTCGTTTTGAGATAATTAAGTTTAAAAATTTTTACTTATGTATTTTCCTCTTATGATCACATTTTGTGCAGTATAACCACAAAATTTTAAATATACTTTAGATTGTGGCTAATGAAGCTATCCCAGTAAACTGAATGTCCTCTTATGAAAAGGAAAAAAATTATATATTTTTTTTTTGTTAAAGTTTTTAGTTATGTCGTTATTTGCGAAAAATTTTAGGAATAATGACAGGAATAAATAAAAAGCTATAATACATTTTATTAAAGTTTTGTATTACAGAAACCTAAAAAAATAGTATTTATTAAAGTAGTAAATCAGAAAATAAACAAAGTAATGTGTAAGAACAAAGGATGTCATTACAATGATTCGAAAAACGGTTTATACATCTTAGGAATATGGTTTTTTTGATTCAGCTGAATATTTTTGATATCAATTCCAGTTTTCTCCCTACTATGTCGTCTATTAGTCCTATCCAGTTTGATCTCATGAAATTCTTCATCGGCATAACTCGTTTTATAGAAAAATGATTTTGGATAAATATTAAAAAAATCTATAGATGTTATAAAACATTAACAAATCTTACCAAAATCAGATGGAGAATCGCTACTTGACGAGCTTGTAGAGCTACTTGAAGATAAAGCAGGTGATCTTGGTAAAGTATCATTAGTATTTTCAAAATTATTCACTGCAAACCCCGTAGTATTTTCGGGATCTATAAATATTACAGTTTAAAATATTTACACACTTCCAATAAAACATTTAATTAATTGTGGAACGATTAATGAAATAAAATGGCTTTATAGAGCTTGACTTGGAAAGGAAACTTTTATTTTCCCAATTTTCATAATAACTTACAAATATCTATATCTAAATCTAAATAATCATCTAAATTAAATGCTGCTTACCTGCATAGTGATGAGAGTATTCTACAGAATTATTCTCAGCTTTATTATCAAGTGCAAGTGCAAGTGCAAGTGCAAGTATTGTTTGTGTTCTGGATTGAAAAGCCATTGGTTATTAATGCACAACACTAAAATTGGCATAAAACAATAATTAAAGTATATTTAAAGGATATTTTCTAAAAAAAGGAACACATTTGGATATGCGTTACAATACATTATCTAATAAGAGAAATATTGTAATAGGTACTGTATTTTTTGTTTTCACATACAATGACACAAGTAAAAAAAATCATTAAAATAAATTAATTAAGTGGCACAAGTCCAAATAATACATTTTTTTAGAAATTAACTGTAACTAATTGATTATAATATTCTCTTGAACAACGACATAAACTAAAATGTGTCCTTATTTCACAAAAAATATTGCTGGCATCAGTGTATTAACACGAAATATGTCAATATTTCTGAATAAAAATGTACCTGAATATGACGTTTTTTGAGAGATGCCACTTTTCTTGAAAAAAGCACAACATTCACCCTTTACGCACCGTACTTAACTGAGATGTGTCACTTTTTAATTAATGCAACAGGTCGAACCCCGAGATGTGTCATTCACAGTAGCGCCATCTCGGAGCAACTACTGTAACTACAAATATGCCGTTATTTCTACAAAATGAATGTAGCTTTCTAAGCATGTTGGTGTAATGATCCTAAAATTGACAAATTTTGAGTTGTATCAGTATTCTCGCAAATGAGCGATATAGTCATGGTAGGAACCACTTTCTGCCAAATTAATCGCAAATTCTCTTGCATATAACAATGTTTTGTATATAAATATACAGGGGAAAGTAAACAGTCTATAATTAATAAAAAAGGGCTTACATGATCCACGATCCGGAACCCTGAACATGTTACGTATAATTCGTTTTTGGACAACAAATATTCTTTGACTCTGTAAAGCATTACCAAAGAACACCACACCATAACTTAGGTGACTATACACAAGGCTATAGTACACATTAATTACAGCAGAAATTGGTAAAGAATCTCTGATGCGAGAGATAGCATAATACGATGTATTGAGTTTTTTACTTAATAAGTCGATATGGGCTGACCACGTAAGATTCCTATCTACAATAATCCCAAGAAACTTTGTGCAATCAGTTGACTTTATGTTAGAATTATTAAAAGTTAGGTTTAATTCTTTTTTTGCTCCATGATTCTGGAAGTATATGCAATTTGTTTTCTCAATATTAAGTATCAGGCCATTAGTGCTACACCAGTTTATATAACGTTTGAATATAATCTCGGAAGATAAAACCAACTCCTCGAAGGTATGTGCCGAGACCAACAAAGACGTGTCATCAGCAAATATTGTCAACATCTAAGTTTCTATATATTTGGGCAAATCATTGATAAATAATAAAAATATTTGTGGACCCAGGACAGACCCTTGGGGCACACCTGAACTAATTTTTAGACAATCCGATGTCACATTTTTAACTTTTACTAACATTGACCTATCTTTTAAATAGGCCATCAACCATTCCAGAAATATACCTCTAAAACCCAAACTAAACAATTTATTTTCAATAAAACCAAAGTTTAGGCAGTCAAATGCGCGTGTTAAGTCGAAAAAGAATCCAACCACATGTCTACCACTATCAAGACACTGATAAACGTGCCCTAGTAAGGCAGAAGCTGTTGATTGTGTCGATCTGCCTTTACGGAAACCGTGCTGATGCTTCGTTAGAATATTGAACTTTGTTAAAAAATTGTACATTTTACTATACACAACTTTATCAAAAATTTTTGAGAAAACACTTAAGATTGATATAGGTCCATAGTTAGCTATATTCTGCGGATCATTTTTCTTATGTACCAGAATGACTGAAGCCGTCTTCAAAATACTAGGAAAATTGCCCGTTCTAATTGATAAATTAATCATATCTGCTAAATGATCCGAAATGTGCTCACCAATACTTTTGACAATTTTAACTGAGATATCAATTCCACTACTATTTGTATTTTTTAGATCATTAATTATCTGTAACACATCCTCCCTGATCACAGATGTAAAGAAAAAGGTTTTATTAAGCATGTCACTAGTAGAGCACTTAACTGATCTGACATTACCAAAGTGATTATTCAATGATCTCTCCGTTACATTCACAAAGTAATCACAAAAAATGTTAGCCACGTCTTTGGGCCTAGAATGAGTTCCTCCTTCCAGAATCAAAGATATATCCCCAACAACCGACTTTCTACCGGTCTCACTATTAACTAAATTCCATATAGTATTAGATTTGTTAGCAGACTTATCAATAATGCCCTTAACATATTCTAGTTTAGTTCTTACAAGTAACTCATTGTAATCTCGTTTCGCTTTCCTATAAAAATCAACTGATCCTACAGTATTCAACGTAGTACAGATCCAATAAACATTTTTTAACTTTTGACTAGCTAGTCTAATATCTTGAGTTATCCATGTTTTAGATTTAATCTTACTATGACAAATCTTTATACAGGGACAAGCAATATCTATCTCCCACATCAATAGTTTCATAAAAGATGCAAAACACACATTGATATCACAACTATCACGTACAGGTTCAAATTTTGTTGTACTCAAAGTAAGTACTAGACTATCTAACCTTTCACCAGATACGTTTCTAAATTGGTTTGTGTATAATGACGTATCACTAACGTCAACGTTATTATTATTAATATTACTCCAGTAGCATGGAGTGAAAATACCCTGTGGTCACTCAAATTTGCTTCATAAACATTAGGTGTGCATTGACTAGAACTGAGATAGATAAGTAAGTTTTGCTTATTTGAGAATGAATGACAACGGTGATTGAACACTGAACATTTAGCCATCCTCACTGGTTGATATTCGTACCATAGTAAACACCAACCAATCTTAGGAAAATTAAGTTCCCGAACGCAAAACATCAATCCAGTGAAAAGCATGATACCATGCATATAATCTTAGCTCCAGATAAATTTCGACTGTAAAAATGACCTAAAAAAAGGTCAAGTCTCGACAGTTACCAATTTTTTTCGACGGCATCACAAGGCCCAGGTAAACGTTAGTCTTAAAATTTCTCTAACAAAAACATAGATCAAGAAAACGATAATCTCAACTCCTACTAATTAATTTGTGCGCTAATATTGTGGACATTTTGCTACACAGATGTCGAAAATTGCAACTATCTCGAAAAACATATCTCACACTAAAAATCTATAAAGGTTTACAAGAGAATAGAAGACTGTTATCTTAAAACAATGTACAAGGTGATTTTTACACAGCTGCTTGTAGATATAAGCATCTATATCACCGAAAATTTTATTTTTTTCAGTAATACCACTAAATTATGTTCCAAATCGACTTGCACTACAACTGCAAGTTTCAAGATTTATTTCAGAATTATTAAAAAAATTTCACGTTTTATTTTAGAATTTTGCAGTTCCGTAAATAGGAACAATTGATCAAAATTTTAGTAATAAAAGCTATTAAAATAATCACAAACAGTAGTAGATAACATCATTCTAAGTAAAATATTTTTAATCATAGTACGTTATTTGGAATTAGATTTTATTTATTTATATTATAAAAATTCTTAGATAATATTAAATATTTTTATTCGGAAGTAGGCACATGCTACTCGTCGGAATTAAATGAATAAGAAGAAAAAAATCTTCTTTAAATTTAAAATAGATTCCTCAGCTGAATATACATATAAGGCTTGAGGATTTTCGATGATAAAAATACAAATCTTTCAATGAAACATACAATATTAATCCTAGTATATCATTTTTAAATCTTCGTTCATTTTCTCATACTTATCTATGAAATTAATAATTTGGCTTATGTACCTAGCTACTGAATCTTTTAATATAAGTAAAGTAAGTAAATAAATGGCAAATAATATTGAATTGTTATTCCAAGAACAAATTTTCAATAAACTGCGTAACTATATATTTTAAGTAATTTCCAGCATTTTATCATATTTATCGATATCCTTTAATCCTATTATTGATGATGCTATTGTATCATGTATATTGTCTAAACATTTATCAGTAATGGTTTGAATTAAGTTGTGTTAACTTCACCAAAACAATTTGACATCAATGGATCGTAAGTTAACAAAAAAATATTTTACTTGAGTAGAACATAAATTTACTTTTAATTAATGCACCTCATAACAAAATAACCTAATTTCTTCAAGCTCACATATGAATGTTACATATTTATATTTTTTTAGCTCTAACACTGAAAGTGTATATTTGGATGTTTTTTAACACTGTAATAAGGGACCAAAATATTACATTTCCCGATGTGTCCCGGACGTTTTCAGACGATGTTCTGTAAGTATTCACGTTATTAATATAAAATTTATAAAATAAACACTGACAAAAATTGAATATTCAAAGTCCGATAATTTTCCGAGTTTTTATGCTGTGGCCTATGTACCTGTCGTCGCTACTTACAGACTCACATTACACTTCCATAGCCTAAGCCTAACTAAGTCAAACCAAACAGGTCGCAAGTAAATATACTTTAGATTAATTTTATTAAAATATCAAATGCACAGAGAATAAAAATTTCAGAATAACAAGAGTGAAGATCACCGCAAAACATCAACATAACATCGAAATATATTATTTCGATAGTGCGACTATATATATTTTTTAGTTTAAAGAAATTTCAACAGGTACAACCTATAACTCTTTCCATATTACATGGTACATTTGCTCATACGTTATGAGGAATGTTACAAATAAACAAAACAAAATTTGGGAAGTGAAATTAGGTTCTTTTAAAAACAGTGTCATTTGCATTGGTGCAAATTTGTCTGATAATTCCCTTTTTTCATTAAACATGCACATTTCCAATTATCTCTCTAGAGGTACCTTGAATCTAACTAATATTCTTGGAACTGGCTTGGAAACCATAACAAATAGTGTACAAAATATGGAAGCAACTGAAGACGAAGACGGAAACAATAATCTGTGTGTCCTTTTTCCCGCAGAACATCTAGAATTGACACTGAACTATGATGCAGACATTGGCATCGATGATGAACTACCAATTTATGGAAATGGATATTTATTGTGAGTATACCATCTATCTTATCAATTCTTTTTAACCCAAAGTATGCGAAAAATACCGAGTGATCACGTGAAAATCGACATATTTTTGCACTATACACTACTAAATGAGAAAAAAATCTGGGAATGAAAGTATCTGAATAGTTATATAGTTCAAAAATCTTTGTCACGTTACTTACACTTTTTTATAAAAGCCTTACACATGAGTTATCTTTATAAATCCGAAAATGTTTGATACATTTTTTATAAACTGAAAATACACAAAACAAATTATTTTAATCACAAAACCTCTGCTGCTCATAATTTGAATATGGGAAACTCTCAAAAAGCAATTGGAAAAAGTTAATATTTAAACGTACTTTTTCTGTTCTAAACCTTTTTACAGATACATTTAGGTATATTGGTACTGAAAATACAAAATATCTTTCTAGCAATCTTTAAATATAATATTTGAATATACCTATAGAAATATAAATTTGTAAATTATCATATAGGCGTGTACACATCATTTATTGTAGAAAAATTACATATTTGAAGATTTATTTTGCTAGGAATTCCTAAGTCTCTAACGGTCCATCCATACCTGAATTGTATCAATTTTTCTTATTATTTATGTTATTTTGTTAATATCTGGTGTAACTACTCAATTTTCTTAATTTAACCAAATCTGTAGCTTCTCTATTTCCGAGAATCCAATTATGACCAAAATTAATTTATAGCAATTATTCAACAATTTCTCAAAAATTGTACCTACTATCAATAAGCTTTGTGATTGAATTAAACGACTAAAAAGACTAATAAATGCTACTGTTTTATATCAATAATGAAGACATTTTAATCTTATAAATAATCTACATTATAATGTAGACAATATAAATATACAGTGCGTTCCAGAAGTAGCACAAAAAATTCGTATTTTATTTTGTGTTGCGTTTTCACAAAACGCTAAAACACGTCTATTTGTAAATAGGATTTGTCATTTTGTTACGTTGCTTAAACCTTTTTTGCGCTATGTTTTATAAATCTACGACGTCATCGACATTTTTTTTAAATAGCACTACCTGATTTTTTAAGCATAAATAAAGCTCTTCTAAAGGGAAATGCGTCGATATAGGGTTTGGCCTACTTTACTTTGACAGGTGCGGAAAAAAAAGCCAACGATTGAAATTGACATGGTTTGAAATAACAACAAAAGTAGGTATCAAAAAGTGATGCGAGAACAGTGCCCCAGCAAAAAATGTACTTTGGTTGCATGTTTTTATGTAGATTGGGTAAGTTCACCCGATCACAGCGGCTAGGTATTGTTTTGAAGACGACATTTAGCGAATGCAATAGTGCCTCATATCATTGTGACAGTTACAAATACCATAACTTTACATAACGATGGTGTTGCGTTTAAGTGAGAAACAAAGAATTGAAATCCTAATTATGGTTGGATACGGAGATAGGATCCGTAGTTATGATGAAGTATGTCAATTATTCAATGCCAAGTATCGAGAACAACCAATACCTCCGTCTACAGTATGCAGATTAATACGCAAATTTCAATATGCTGGACATGTTAGAAATCTGTCTAGATCTGGAAGGCCGACGATAGTGACGGAAAATGTATGCAAAATGTTATTTTTAGCTGTCACTGAAATTCCACACACTGCCGTTCGTCCTGTCGCCGAAAACGCTAACATATTATATAAAAACATGTACCTACAATCAACCAAAACACAAAACATCTATAAATTCTCATTTTTTGCTGTGGCACTGTTCTCGCATCAGTTTATGATAGGTACCTACTTTTGTTGTTATTTTAAACCATGTTCATTCCAATAGTTGGCTTTTTTTCGCACCTGTCAAAGTAAAGTAGGTCAAACCCTATATCGACGCATTTGCCTTCAAAAGGGCTATCCATTTATGCTTAAAAAATTAGGTAGTACTATTTAAAAAAAAGTCGATGACGTCATAGGTTTATGAAACATAGCGCAAAAAAGGTTTAACCAACGTGACAAAATGACAATTCCTATTTACTAATTGACGTGTTTTAGCGTTTTTGTGAAAACGCAACACAAAGTAAAATACGATTTTTTTGCGTTACTTCTGGGATGCACTGTATTTACATTTAAAATGCAGACATATACTAATTTATGTATACCTACTCATGTTTTTGTAATCTGTGCAGCAATGAAATCAGAACAGAAAATAACCTTTTTTTAATTACGTGCTAATGAAGATATTTAGAGATATGCGGTTAGCAACATTACGTTACGCATAACCTCCTCTGTAACCACATGTTCTTGGATTGTTGATATTTCATTTAGTTTTCGTGATATTGTTATTTGAGTGCAACATTAAGTGATGACGATTTCTGAAATGTGCGATTTTCTGGAACAACAATGCAACGTAAAATTTTGCGTAAACTGGTAAAAACTTTCACAGAAACGCTTCAACTTTTGACACAAGGTTACGGAGATGATGCTCTGAGTTGTGTGTCTGATGTTACGAATGGTTTTCACGATTTAAAAATGGTCGTTAGTCAATTGAAGATGATCCTCGACCAGGAAGGCATTCGACTCCAACTTATGACTGAATGTCAGTGTTCTGGTGCGTGCAAATCGCCGGTTGACTGTGAAATTTTGACTGAAATATTGAATATGTATCGAGTTACAGCAAAATTTGTTCCTCATTTGATGACCGAACAACAGAAAGAAAATCGTGTGGACGTTTGTCGGCAACAATCAAATGACGATGAAACCTTCATTCAAAGGATTATAACGGAAGACGAATGTTGCGTTTACGGCTACGACAATGAGAGAAAAGTTCAATAACCATAGGGGAAGATCTCCACCCCCCAAGAAAGCACGTCAGTCTCGATTCAATGTCAGTGATGCCTCTTTTTTTCCTCTTTAATGGAATTGTGCATTTTGAATTTTTACTTATGAAAGAAGATGAAACAGTGAACCGTGACTACTATCAAGACGTTTTACAACGGTTACTTGAAAAAATCCGTAAAAAGGGATCAGAGTTGTGATGAGACAACTCATGGTTATTGCACCATGACAATGCGCCCGCACACTCAGCTTTGTCAATTCGTCAGTTTTGTGCGAAAAATCGGATTACTGTCCCTCCTCACCCTCCTTACTCACCAGACCTGGCTCCTTACGATTATTTTCTTATTTCCGAAATTAAAATCAGTCTATTGATGACATCAAAGCAAATTCGTCACGGACTTTAAAGGTCATTTCAAATGAAGCTATCTAGGACTGCTTTGCAAAATGGAAACACCGCTGGGGAAAGTGTATGAATATGGAAGGAGAGTACTTTAAAGGAGACAAGGACTAGTAATGTATAACAGTTATTAATAAAATTAAAAAAAAAAATAAGTTCGGTTATTTTCTGAACAAACCTCGCATGAACCATTTTTTTAATTTTCAATAAATATTAGGCATACTTATCTCTTTTTTTAAAGTTTATGTAATTATTTTTGACTGCAACAATATGCTAAATTCTAGCGCAAATCTTAAGTCATTTTAACTTCTAGAAACTACTTGACTTCACTTAAAGTCAATTTCTTTTTAAAATTCACTACTTGATTTGATTTAATTTTGTACTATTACTACTTGATTTAACTCAATGCCACTTGACTTGATTCCAAGTAATTTTAAAAATGACGATGGAGGAGTATAATACTATTACTCCATCTAACTTTCAAGAAATGTTACGAAAAACAATTTAGAATTAGAAACACTTAAAATCAGCTGTACTAAAATCGCCATTTAAATGTGATATCCTGTTAAGAATATTCATAACATATTAAGATTTTATTAAAATTGGATTGAAACTTCAGATAAGCCTTTATCTTTCTTTTTTATTCAATATGAATACCTACTTAAATGGGATTCACATGTCCACATTAATTCTATTAAGCCCTAAATGCTTTAGATTAGTAAAGATAAAAATAAAAATAATAAAGTAATTCAAGTATTTATATTTGTTATGTTATTAGTACTAACATGATACTATACTTTATATAATGTTATGCGAAATAAATGCTTCATATTTTCTTATTTTATATTTCAATAAAATAACAAATAGGATTTAGTTTTCTAAATACAATTTAATACGTCATACTATTTCTTAATATCACATAAAACTGAAGAAATAATAATTTGAACTGAAGTTCTTGATTTGTCAAACACTTGAAATGCAATTACTTCGTGATCTGATATTCGACCACTTAACTTGAAGTTGATTTCAATTGTGATATAAAACATTTGATTTTTTAATTTCAGATTTAGACTAGAAAATATCGCTTTCAACGCTTGCATGTTTATAAATCATGATGAAAATTATATTGACGATGTTGTGGTTAATCTTTTATACCGACACACACCTGTAAGTATTTACATTATAATTAAAGATATAATTAGAACATACATAGTAATAGTATTTTTTAATTGTATATATTCTGTCACAGAATTTTGTTTATGTAATTTTACTTCTAAAGCTACCAGCTTTACAAAAAATTTTTAATTGGTATAATTCATAATTTTGTTGTAAGGATGGTTTTGGTACATTTACAAAATATTTGTAAACCAATATTAGTACTTTTTGTACATTTTCAGTGAATTTTGACAAGATTTTTTTTATTTGGCATTGACGCATTCTTTGTAATTTAAAAATTGTTTTTTATACTAGTTAAATTGGTAATAGCAAATTCACAAGTATCGGTTATTTTCTCTATAATGTATATTAGTTTTTGAAATTGATATAAAATTTTAAAATGATAATATGTAACTTTTATTTAAAAAATAATTGTACCTACTATAATGTAACAAACTAGAAAATCGAATACATGTTTATAAAATTTAACGTACACAAATACTAAATTATATTTTTTGTATACTAAATAAATGTAGGTACTCTATTACTTTCCAGAAATATATTTACAAAACCTATAATAAGTTTAGACCTATATCCTTAGTGGAAACATTAAGATAATTGAACTTATACAGAGCCTTCATAAATGTTTACAAGTCACGTGACCACCGATCACAACATTGCACGGTTGGTACTGGTAACGAAAATTCCATAAATCTTGGCATCACCAATTTGTTTACAATGACCAATGACAAACCGTTACGTCTNGGTTTACCGTACACAAATACTAAATTATATTTTTTGTATACTAAATAAATGTAGGTACTCGATTACTTTCCAGAAATATATTTACAAAAACTATAATAAGTTTAGACCTATATCCTTAGTGGAAACATTAAGATAATTGAACTTATACAGAGCCTTCATAAATGTTTACAAGTCACGTGACTACCGATCACAACATTGCACGGTTGGTACTGGTAACGAAAATTCCATAAATCTTGGCATCACCACTTTGTTTACAATGACCAATGACAAACCGTTACGTCTACGCTGGAAGACAATGCGTTCGCCGATTGGTTGAATAGAATCTCGTGAAAAATTACACCAATCACATCCGGTATCCGGTGAAACAGAATGTTGTATTTATAATGTAAAATTAACACGAAGGAAATAAAATTACTGTTCCAAACAAAATTCCTGGTCACGTGGCTTGTAGTTATTTATAAAGGCTCTGTAGGTACCCGTAACTTTCAGTATGACTATGGCGTTACGGCTATCCCTTTACCGGACTATCGACGAGGGGGTCTTTGGTTCAGGTACTGCCGGACATTTACAGTGAAATGTGGTGGAGCGCCATCATGCATAAACCACATGTTAGCTCTAAGTAATAACGTCACATCTTCCAACAACTCGGATTTTGCAAAAATTCTAAATAAAATTTCCCATTCAGTCTATCAGGTAGAATAATAGGACCAGTAATAATGCTATTAATGATTCCAAACCAGATATTGATGGGAAATTCATGCTGATAATGTTTCACTTTGATAGTAGGAGGATTTTCTTGAGCATAGGTACACATGTTCATTGTGACTATTTATTATTATGCTTCTAGTAAAACAGAATTGGCAGGTACAATGATTTAAAGATCAAACTGAAATTACAATGAATCTACAAAATCAGAGCCTACTAACACTTTATTAAGTATTGTAATATGGGTGGCAAGTTAATGTACCTATACATTTAAAAAATGTTTTTTGTACCCAAACCGTTAATTTAATCAAAATTCTACAAGAGGCCCAAAAACTTCCAAATGGTATGACCTATCAAATTAAAAATAGTTGTCATTATTGCCCGAAAGAGGAAAAGTTATGAACGAATATTATCACCATACATCAATTTTGTAGGAGTTGTAAGTTTTAAAAAACACTTTGTATAACATCAAAATGTGTAGATTAAAAGCAAAAGTCCACATCCCAACAATAATCAAAATCGAGTAATACGTATTCGAGTTATTTACAAAATTCAAAAAAATTTCGCGAACTTTAAGCGGCCAAACGAAGCGATTTCGGATATAGGTGAGTTAGCCTAAATCTGCCTATTTTCAGTCCACGAATATGTGGTCTTCCGTTGTACACGTTATTCTGGGACACCCTGTATTTTGTAGATGCAGGTACACACAAAAAAATATAATTTCACTTACTGCAAACCTATTTAATATTTTTGCATTAAACTTGTAAAAATGCAATGCTCATATTCAAAAAATATATATGTTAATTTCTAGTAAATTTACAACAGGACATTAAAATCACTGAAAATTACATTTTAAATACCTTTTTGATACTAATTTAAATTACAATATTTTCACATTTAATCTTTTCAGTGTATGTTTCATATATTATAGTTTGCAACCATTTTAGATCTATCAGTGAAATAACTAATTAATAACTATGTTATATTACTATAACATTGTTGTTAATACATCAATTATGATTAGGTTATTTTTTAACTGTCATATTTATTGCATCATATAATAAATTATTGAATTGTACACCTTTTGTGATTCATACAATAAAAGGGGTTTCCCTTTTTGTTGTGAACTTATTTTGAAAGTATTTTAGATAAAATTAAGTAGGTAATTCATGACATACAGTTTTATTGGACTTGAAAATTTTGACATCAGTGCTATTAAGTTTTCATATTAAAAAACACTAAAATATATTTTTTTTTAGTTGGAGTTGACAGGATTTTGGAGAAACAATGAGGTCAGCATCATATTAACGCGTCTATTAAATATCGCCAACAGATATATTGCTATGTGGAATAATTATGAGCCGGAACGTACTTCTTGTCTTTGGAGTCCACTGTTCTCATATGCGCTAAATGTTTGGTTTGAAAATAAAAATGCTTCCCTTGATTTTGACCCTTTATGTGTGAAGGTAATAGTTATAATTTTTAAAATTACACATTTTTTCATAAACCTCTTTAAAATGCAGAAATATACTAATTAATGTATCGTGACTAAATTTGTATTAATTTTTTTATCAAAATTTAAAACAAGGTAAAGATAATATACATTCTGAAATGAAAATATTACCCCCTTAACTTTTAAACGGCCATCGAACCTTTGAAAACAGGAGCAATTGAGCAATACTTGGTTTATTTTTATGACGTTGCATGTTCCTTGGGATGTTCAATTCCACATTTTAATACAGTTCTTTTCTGGGAAATTATATATTACTAGCGGCCCGTCTTGGCTTCGCACGGGTGAACATTTATTTTAAACATTCTGGGATATAAAAATATAGCCTATGTTACTCAGGGATAATGTAGCATTCTAATGGTGAAAGAATTACCGAAATCCGTCCAGAAGTTTTTGAGTTTATTCGTAACAAACATACATACATACAAAAATACAAATCTTTCCCCTTTAAAATATTAGTATAGATTGGATCCTAACTTTCTAATATTGAAATATACCAGTAAATAGCCGGTATAACAAGTTGCCTAAATTAACAATTATTTCATATAATTCTCATCAGTTTCTAATGAAATTTTTGTTTACGCGAATTCTCTTAAAAAATAAAAATAAGCTATATAAGATGCAAAAATGATCAAATAAAAAATGTCATTGACATATTATTAATAGTTTATAATTAATCATATTTATATGGTGAATCTCCCATTTTTAGGAAATCATTTCTGATGTAGAAGAAGGGAACAGCGGAGCAGAGATAGAAGAAGAAATTTTAAGAAAAATGTTGAATGCTCAAAAAAGTGATGGTAACAATGAATTCCATGAGTTAATTGAAAATGATAAACCCATTATTCTGCCAATAATTAAATATTTAAGGCAATTTGGTATGAGATATATATAAATATCTATAGTATTTTTGTTCCTCAATTTTATCATTATTCAATTTAAATTATTTAACATATTCCATTTATTTAATCTTACTTTCATTTTAGTAATTTATATGTATATGTTCTCGATTTATTATAATCCATCAAAAATAATGTAAAAAGGTTATTAAAAGATAAATCTTTGTGTTTGAATGTCTATCAATTAATGTATATCCTAATACGACAAAAATATTATTTCAAATCAATTTCTAAGGAACAGACGCCTCTGACAAATTATGAAAACTAAGAATAACATTGAATACAAATTTGCTCCGATTTTATATCCGTACAGTTGCTTTCATACTTCTAAAGTATAAAACTTATACAGTATATTATATTTTGAAGTCTACAAAGCAGAAGTAAAATATGGATATAGATATTTTCCCGGAATGTACCGTTAAAGTAGTTAATATCTGATATTCCTAGCTTAGTTTCAGTTTTTTCCGAACTTATTACGAAATTATAAATATCTCCAAACAAATTTTGATGGGCTTTCATTATCAAAGGCGATTAAAGGTGATTAGATAAATAAAGGAATATTAAAATCCAGAAGTCAAGCATGAGCGTAGCTAGTGGGGGGCAGGGGTGTGCACGGCCCACCCCAGAGAACCCGGTGCCCACCCTAAAAAAAAAACATCGCCGCCTTTTTTTTAGAATCAAAATCAAAATGTGTTCAAATTTGATATCTTGATTGTCTGATTGCGAGCGGGGGCTCTTTTTTTTAAACGCCTCAATAGAGCTTGCAGCCCTGGACCACCCCAAGCAAAAATTGTAGCTACGCCCATGATTAGCCAAGCCCTTAACACTACAATGTGTAAGTGTGCATGTATAAGTAAACAAAAAAGTTAAAAATGATAACAGGTTTATTTTGTCAAATTTACATACGGCATGCTTGCACACGGTGATTGATTAGCACTGATTAGTCAGAATTAATATTATTAGCCAATTCATGGCTTGATGAAGTTAAATCGTCTTAAGTTAAAGAGTTTCATGATCCTCATTAATATCAAATTGGCTTTCCGAACCTAAAAATCACTTACAGCGTCTATCTTTGAAACAAGAAAATAATTTGCATCATACTTTATTTCTGACAGTAAATATCACAAATCCACATTGCAACATTCAATTAAAAGTTTTCTTGCATTCAACTTATTTTGCAAATGAGTTAAATTTGTAGTAAAGCAGAACAAAATGAAAACATTGAACTGTTTTACGTATACAATGATTGGTTGTATGAATTATTATGATATGAATGTGGATTATGATCGTACTTGTGAATATTCCTTAACATCATTATAAAATGTTTAAATAAAGCATTTCTTTTCGATTTTGTTTTTAATGGAAGGAAAAATAAGATGATAAGTTCCAATATAAATTATTAATAAATAGTATAAAATGGCGACGCTGGAGCCATTCTCGCGGGGCATGTTGAAGTTGAAAAAACAGAAAGATTTCTCTTAATCTACATAGTATGGTTAGAGAAATATGTAGGGGATTTTGAAAATAATGATTTCTGTGTGATTTGTGTGATTTGAAGTAAAAATTAAATTTTTGATAAAAAAGATGGACAATCATTTGCCAATAAATAATGCTAATATCATCTTATCGAAAATCACTTATGTATTTTTTCAGAATTTTACTTTAAAGACATGCTCAAAATTTGGAGTTAATAGATTGAAAATTATTGGAGTTATGTTGCGTGTCGTTTTAAAAAATCATGTTTCGAGAAAAACACCTTTAAAATTTGAATATATACACTATACCAACTACTTTCGTTTGAAAATGCTTCAATGGAAAATACAAGCTCTTTCTGATGACATCTCATAGGGTTCATTTTTACGCCAAGACGCTGAAACGAACTCCTTGCTTGCATTGTAGCGTCGACGCTGAAAAATTGAAACCGAACCAACTTTTCTGCGTCGTAGCGTATGTTGCCATGCAGGCGGTCAGTTTGAATTATTGTGCAGTAAATCTATTTATTTGTTGTTGCAATTAATTAACAAATGTTCGAATTTACAGCAAATGACTTTCAGGTAAAAGTATATTAGTGGCGTTCAGTATTGACATGTTTTGTCCTTTTGTAATTATAGGTTAATATCGAACGCTACTATTATGTTATTTATAGGTTATGTTTTCCTAACCATTTCAGCCAAAAATAATAACCAAACTAAAGAAACATAGTAAAATATTTCAGGCTGTTCTCCAGACAGATAAATTAACTTATCATAATATTCTTGAGCAGGGTAAATTATTTATCGGATATGACTATTGCAATGTGTTTGATGCCCTTGACGTAAGGCGTTGTTTCAAATGTAATGGATTTAACCACATCCATAAAACTTGTACTGTTCAATCAGATATATGTCCTCGCTGTTCGCTTAACCATCCGGTTTCTCAGTGTAACTCTGAGCAGCTTTGTTGTGTAAACTGTGTAAATTTTAATAAAAGTAACAAACATTCAGCAGTTGATGTCAAGCATGCTGCTTGGGATAAAACCTGCTTTGTTTATCAACAAAATCTGTTAAAATTAAAAAATAATGTATTAGGTTTACAATAGCAATTACCCCCATTGTTGGACGCCCATGATTATCACTTAAATTCCAAACAAACGAATGTAGAAGAAAGTTCTAATTCACGTTTCTTGTCGTGTTATTATCAGAACGTGCGTGGTCTAGGTACAAAAACTAAAGAATTGTTTGTAAATTCGTTTATTGATCAGTTCGATTGTATCTCTCTATGTGAGACATGGGCTCATTCAGGTATACATGACGCTGAGTTATTTGACTTAAATATTTTCAATGTATTTCGCGCCGATAGAAACTTTGATGCAGTTGATAAGGTTAGAGGAGGTGGCGTGCTACTAGCTATCAATAGAAAATTAAATGCTTGTCTATATGACATTAAATTAATTTGTCCTGCTCTCAATGACATCCCCAGTATAGATGTAGTGGCTGCAAAAATAAAAACTTCTAATTACTTTGTTTATATTATTACAGTATACATCCCGCCAAATACGCTATGTGAAGCTTACGAACGCCTGTTCGATTGTATTATATCCTTATATGATATATATGGCTCCAAGATTGTTATTTTCGGTGATTTTAATATACCGGAATATGTTGTTGGAGTTTCCTCTCGTTGCACCATCGCTCTGCGGCAACTTATAAGTTTTTTTGAACTTGAACAATATAATCAAATTTTTAATGTTAATAGCAGAATTCTGGATCTTGTCATTGCAAATGTTTACTGTAGAGTACTCCGATCTCCTCAGCCTTTACTATCTGCTGATCCTCATCATCCTGCTCTAAATGTAAGCGTTAATATATACAGCAAACATTCCAATATTTTTCCAGTGCAAAACAATCATTCATTCAACTTTAAACACACAGATTTTCTTGGTTTATATAATGAACTTAGCATTACTGATTGGTCGCTTTCTACTGACTTGTCGGTAAATGATATAATTCAACAGTTTTATAACAAAATAAATGATGCCCTCCATGAATATGTTCCCTTAAAAAGACCTACGAGTAAAATTTATCCGCCCTGGTTTAATAGTCAATTGTTAACTCTCTTGAAGAATAAAAACCATGCTTGGAGTTCATATAAAAAATCTAAACAACTTAATGATTATATTAACTTTAAAAATATTCGTTCCCAGGTAAAATCTGCCATCAAGATTGCTTATACAAATTATATACTAGAGTCCGAAAATACAATTATGAGCGATTCTAAAAAATTCTGGAACTTTGTAAAC